TGAAACCCCTTGTGCAGGTGTTAAACAACTGTCAGCCCACCCCAGAGGTGACTGCATTTCAGCGTGCCTGAAGCAAAACAGCACCAGCAATGGACAGGGGAATGGCTCCCGGGCATGGCTTGCTCATGACTGCGTCAGTCCCATTGGATGGGCCTCAGCCTCTTTCCTTCCCCTCCCCCACTCTGTGATGGGGCTGTAGATTCAGGGGGAGAGGTGTGGAGGCAGGCAGGGTGTCTCCCTGCAGCAGGTGTAGACACGTCTCTGTATTAATCATTCTCTCATTGAAGTTTTTAGCTTTGTATTGAGTCCTTTTACATGGAAACTTTACGTCTTGGTAGAACAGATCCTAAAACAAGTGAGGCAGAGACTGTCCCTGTGGGGTGAATGAGGTGGGAATTGATAAGGCGGAAGATGACACTTCTGGGCAGTTGCAAGGGTTGGAGAGGGGATGGAAGCCAGATCCAAGATCAATGAGCCCTGGGAAGTGGGCCCATTGAAAGGAGACTGGACCTGTGGATGCCTTGGGGGTCAGCAGCAAGGGCCTGCTTTGGGAAGCCCCCTCTTTGGAGGTGAATGTGGCAGCATTGAGACACCACCCAGAAGCAGGCACCACAGACACTAACTGCAGATTCAGGGGACGCTCTCACAGATCTTGCACATGCAAAGATGATAGATCTGCAGGAGGGAGGAGCAGTGGTGTAGCGTGGGGGCTGGAGGGGTCAGATGCCCCTGGGCACCATGCTAGGGAGGTGCCAATTTAGTCCACCTCTGCTCCCCCTGTCATTCCTCGGCTCGCCTGCTCCTACTCCGCCTGCCACTGGCTGCCGGAGCCCCCCCCCCCCCCCTGGTGGGTTAGTGCATGCGGGAGCCCAGCCCCAAGCTGGAGGGGGTTGGGGAAGATACGGCACAAGTTTCCCTTCCGCCCTCCTCCCAGGGTCAGGCTCAGCCGTGTACCAGGTTCGGGGCCCTGCCACACAGTGGTGGTGGAGTGGGGGGGTGCAAATTTTTCCTTTGCCCCTGGGGCACATAACACCCTCGCTCTGCCTCTGGGTCAAGGCTCTCTCTAATGCCATTGAGATACAGTCTCTGTAACCCGCCTCCAACATGGGGCACCTTTGAGTGCTGTTGCACTTTGGGTAGATGGTTTCATAGAGTTCTTTCCCGAGTGACTGAGCGCTTTCCCCAGCCTGAATCCCAGTCCCATTTCTACCCATCAGGGAACGGAGAATCCATGGGGTATTTCAGAAACAAGAAGGATGAAAGCAGACTTTGACTACTGAATTTGTACCATGGAATTTCAGGGCAGATGAAAGGTTTCTTGGTGTTGGCATTGGTGAAAACTTTCAAAGCCGCATCCTGGGAAAAAGGAAATAAAAGTAAAAGAATACAATAGGAAAAAAACTGCACAAGAGGCAGCAAGGGGCTGCTTTTCACTGCCTATTTAAGGGAAAAGTAACTATGAAGCAAGAAAACTGCAGTACTAGCAGTCCCAAGAGTGAGATCCTACATCTGTGAGTGGATGAAAGACGGCAAGTCTTCTAATTCCCAGATGCTCTCAAAACAGCAACTCATCACACAAACAACTCTCCCAGCCCCATGACTCAATCTGGACAATGCAATGAACAACCAGACTAGAAATTAAATTCTACAAAGTACAACAAGGAGTCCGGTGGCATTTTAAAGACTAACACATTTATGAAGGTATCATATATATAGTAGCCCAATGTCTGTGAGTCTGTAACGCTGTAGTGTTACAGTCTTGCCTCTGGGGAGCGCTTTTGCCTCCTGCCATGGTGCTCAGCTGAGTTCTGCGCCACTCAGCTGGGCCACGGCGGGGGACCTCCTGCTGCGGTGCTCAGCTGAGTGCTGCACCCCTCAGCCAGGCCGCTGGGGGAGCCTGCAGCACAAGGGGCCATTTGGGCTCCCCTGAGGTGGGAGGGGAAGGGGACGAGGCGGTGACATACATGGCCCTGCCCCCTGGATGTGGGGTAGGGTGTAAAAATAACCCGACACCCTTGATCGGGGGCGGGAGGGGGGAGGGACTGGCTGGGAGACGAGTGGGGTTGGCTGGGGGGGGGAAGCAGAATGGAGGGGGTCAGACGCAGAGTAGCTGACCAGGG